TGTGACGGACAATGAATGGCTCATGGCAGGGAAGGCAGTAGGGGCCAGCTGGTCCAACCCTCAGCCAGAGTTGGGTTCTCCCACCCACCCCTGGCACAGGCTCACCCAGCTTCTTTGTGAATTCTTTCAGTGACAAGAAAGGATCCGTTTCATTGTTGAATCTAATTGTAACTGCTGCTCATTCTTGTGGAGTGTTTCAAGTTCTCTGAACCCGTTCACGAGGATTATCTCACTGGGTTGTCACCAACCCCCTGTGTGACAGGCATTTTCTAAGGAGTAGAAATTGAGGAAATTATAACTTCCAGATTAGCAGCCCTTGCTGCCCACACTCAGCCTCCCCCTTCCTACTCTCAGCAATTGAAATCTCACTTCATCTAGGAAGTCCTTCAGCCTATCAAAAGAGAAAGAAGAACACCTGAATTCTTTGTACTAAATTATTTTTCCCCTGGGCTATGGGTAACAGAACACCTTCTTTTCAAATATGCTTTATTTTGAGTAACAGTCATGAGAAGCAGCCTTTTGATGAACTGAATCTTGAACCTCCCTCCCCTGCTGCCCACGAGACAAAAACACAACAACCTCAAACAGCCAACGGGTCAATCACACAAGAACACATACTTTTTAAAAAATGCCTGTCAAAGAAAGAAATAGAAGCTTCTAGAACCATGTGGTTTTGTGCCCCTCCTGATTGTGGAACTACGTCCAGGGAGAAACTCCTGAGCACTTCACCAATGCCCTCCCATCCGGAGGGCAGCCACTTGAGGGAATGGTAGAGCAAGGAACTGTCTGAGTGTGGAGATCCCCAGTACCTGGGACCTGAGTGGGCAGGAAGGGCTGTCCTTGGCTCGCCATCTTCCTGGTGAGGTACAGGGTTGACCAGAAGAGCTGGAGCCCCAGGAGAAGCAGCCTCAATGGAGAAAGCCTCACCACAAGGACCTGCTGTTTGCTAACTGCACATACCTGTGCTACCAGATGTCTGTGACTGAGTGTGTGGCAGGTGTTCCTTGAAGGACACCCTGCTGCCTCTCACTTGCTCAGGGGACCCAGCGCTTTCCTATTTCCCCACAGCTTCTAAAAACAAAGGCTTTTTCCATTCATTTCCTTCTTGTCTGTAGTGTTCAGATTCTTGTACCCATGACGACCACTCCTCCCTACCCCCACCCAACAATAAATACCTTTCAAATGGGAAACCTATGGGGCATTCTGCTGGGGCTGGTCTCTCCGTGTTAGAATCCACTCTGTGTAGAATCTACCCCTGGGGTTAGACAGGTCACTACCCGTGGGGCTGGTAAGGTAGTCCTCTTGTCAATCCTTTCCTTTCTCTTTCGATAGTCAGTCTGAATCAGCTCTCCTCCTGACACACCAGGTTTCCCCATCATCCAGACACAACTCCAAGTTATTCCAATTACTATTCCTGATTGTATATGGAATAGACTCTGAAGGCTGAGTAATCAACCATTCCATTTCTCTGCCCCCAAGGAGAAAATGCTTTATAAATTCCACGTTCGTTAACTCATTCATTCAATCCCTTGCCTTTTGTAGTAACCCTTTTGGAAACCAAAGCTAGGTTACCTTCATTATAGGCCAGCCTAGGACTACTCTGAATTCTGTCATGCCTCGGCAGGCACAGATGCATCTCCATGAGTCATCCTTCATGTCAAGCTTCTTCCTGGACGACGGCTTCTAAATATCTCCAAATCTCCTCTAGGAGACCTGTTCCATAATCTCACCTTTGCCCTTCATCCTCTCCCTCATGGAATTGCTACTTCCTGCTGTTGATAACCTGAAGAAGTTCTGTGAATGTTGGCTGGACAACCTGATGGGTATCAGGCTGGGGCTCTTAGAAAAAGATCAGGCTTGCTGTCTGAGCTGCACTTTTAGAGGTTCCTCTGTAGTCGACCACAATACCTCAGTAACCATAAGCAGCATTTGATTCTACTCTGCCCACTTCCTTCATGGTACCTAAATTCTTAAGAATTGAGTACGTGGCACTTACAACTGGAACAGAAAATGTCAGCTCTCAAGATACAAGCTTCAGAGTCTTCTGCAACGAGAAAAGAAAACATTTTCAAAATTACTGTGGCTTCCTTCAGGATGCCTCCAGTGCAGGCTTTTATATTTGAGGATCATATGAATTATACATAGAGAACTATGGGCTGGTGGATAGCTTCCAACTACTAGAAATTATATTTCCCTCCCTTTTGATAATGAGTTCAAGGTCTTCACCACAAGTGACATCATGTCTCAGAGGCAAAAATAGGTTTCTACGAAGACTATGTAATGTCTTCTGTCTAGCAGATCCTATTTCCTCTTTATGCCCTGCTCTCCTTACCTTCCTAATTGGCTCTCGGACCTCAAAGCTCTTTGTTGCTGCTGTCGGGAGCCTTAAATAATTAGATATAGTCTGACTAGGGTGAGGTTAGGAGCTTGGCTAGGCTGACTACATTTCAGTTCACCTTAGAAACCCAAATGACCTAGGGCTCTGGAAAAATGGGATGGTGGGCATTGCAGTCTGGGGGGTAGTGATATAATTCTTATGAACGAAACAGGTCATTTGGACCTAAACACAGGTAGGTGTGGGAATAATTTACATACTCTGTTAAACTCAACTGGGGTGAGATAAAACAGCCTCCTTTACTGAGTGTTCAATACAATGGGCTTCACAGAAAAGATCTCATGCAATACTGAAAAGAATTCTTTGAAAGTTTCCCATTTAGCACACAACAGAGTGAGGTTTAGAGGATAAGACACTTATTAAAGGGGTTAAGATTCAAGCTCCCAGGCTGAGTCCCAGGTGTTGCTGCCCTTCTGCGGGCTCTTCTTGGACAGGCCCTGGAAGCCAGCAGTTGCCATGATGGAGGGACATTTGTGCACGAGAGGCAGTGGTGGCTCTGCGTTTACTACCTGCTGCCTGTCATACCTGGATTTCAGAAATGAAAGGAGCTGTTATGAGATTGACATCTCTCCCCGCTTCGGTCTGAAGTGAGGCATTCTCTTTCTCTTCTACTATATCGGGCAAAGATAAATACAAAATACGTTTCACTTCCACATCCCAAGAGATAAAAAGCATGGATTTCAGACTTTTTTTAGTGGCTAATTGTATCTCTGTAACAGCTGAGGGAACAGTTGTAAAAAAAATTTTTAAAACTCTAGGGCTTCGGAACTATTATGTAGACTTTGAAATTGAGGAAAAGGAAATTATAGTAGCTTTTAGTCCATCCCCCCTTTAAGAAGAATATTTAATCCTTTAGATTTAACTCTTAATTTACTCAAAACAGAAATCCAAACAGGCAACCTGTTGTTTTGGGGAAAACATTTGAATGGAAATTAAGAGCCTGGTTCTAGTCCCTGTAATTCTCTTAAGTAGCCATTTGATGCTACCAGCAAGGGACCAAAATTGCACCAGAATGAAATCCACCGTCTCAAAACAAGGTGTTTTCTAAAGTTCCTGCTCGCAAAGGGCCAATGAGTCATGCCTCAGTCGGTGCTGAAAATAATATAAAGACTACTCCCCAACAAAACCTCAGTTCTTTTAGATATGTGTCCTTTTGATGAATGTGATTTATGTGAATGATTGATGGACCAACAGATCTAATCCTCCTCAGGTATTTGGAAATTCAAAATATTTCCGACTATTGAGATTATGGGCAAACTTGTAAAAGTACGAGAATTCTACACCATCTAGGGTTGTTTATTCCAGTAACTGAGCTGCTCTTCAAACATGGCTCCCGCGGAGCCATGCCTCCCGGTAGTTACATTCTCTGTAGACCCTCCACGTAGAATCTGGACTGGCCCTGTGACTCACTTTCTCCAAAGTGACGTCATGCCAGGACTGGGTCTAAGCCAAAAGAAGTCTGTCTCGGTTGGCTTTTCTTTTTGGTGCTTTTTGGAGCGCCAAGCTGCCACTGCTCTCCCTGTCCCACCCTGAATATATGAGAGTTCAATACATCCAATACAGACCGGCCCAGATACCTCATTTCCAATGTCATCCTTTGTCCTAATTGAAATGTGTACATTTCAGGGCAAGCTAAAAGCCCTATTGTGGGCTCTAGATGCCTTGATGAAAAGAGGTTCCTTGTCACCAATATTTTGAATTGTCCCTTTGTTTAGCATCCTGGAGATGCCTAATGGCTCAGAGGCATGCTTTTCTTCTGCCAAGAAGGCAGAGTATCTGAAATGGCAGGTGGGATCCTCCACAGGTGAGCCCTTAAGGCGGCAGTCTTAGGAGAGTTCTCACAGAGGTGGATTTCCTGAAGATTTACGGTGTTGGAATACCCCCTGGGGTCCTCATGTGTCAGGGGCGTGTGTACCTGCTTAGAGAGCAGCCTTTGCGCTCCCTTTGCCTTCTATCACTCCTGGGTTCCTCTTCCTAGTACTCTAAGCTCTTCTGATTTCTCCACTTCTAGGGCCCTACTTTCTTGTCCCTCAAATGTCTCATCAGCTGATCCTGATACAGTCTTAGTTCTAAGCGGTGAAAAACTGAAGATAAGACCCTTGTCAGGAAGTTTTGCACCAAAATGAAACACAGGCATGAAGATGCAGCAGTTGATAATTTTGTGAAGGACCCCAGCCCCATGATTTCTCAATGACACCACGAAGACAGCTGCTATAATCACAGGGATGGCCCAGTGCTCTCTTGCCCACAGTAAGTGAGTGGTAAGAACTTTACCACCATCTCTAGAGCAAATCTCACACCTAAAAAGGCAGAAAGTACTCCAAAGACAAGCAACAGAAACCTTCCAGGGGAAAACTCAGATACAAGCTTTGTGATACACTCATGTTTTCTAGCAAAAACCATTGTTCCATTTCTTCCTTTGTATAATGGGTTTGAGCATACCTAATTAAAAGTATTTTTCTGATGATGAAAAGAGCCTGGCTCTTCTCTGGTGGTTAGCCAACCCTCCTCCCTTCCATTAGTGTGTCGTTTATATGTGATCTGGATGATTGATGCTTAATATTTCTCATGCCTCTAAGAGTTAAGAACAAGGTTAAACAAGTCCTGAGAGGTAAAACTTTATTGATTTATGTATCAGCATGTTATGATATGGTCACACCTGCTCATATAGCTGATTTTTTCTTATAGCCAAAAAGAGGATTGTTTTCCTTTTAAAAATACATTTTTTTCCCAGCAGGAAGAAACATTTTAAAAACAAACATTTTCTTATTAAGTGGAGATTTAAAACAATGGCTTCTTTCCCCCAACTCATGAGAAATAGGACTGGTCAGCGAGAGATCTCTGAGAGCTTCAAATATGCCTTCAGTCTTCTGCCCCCAATTTGTTCATCTTGGACAGAAACAACTTCTGGGGGAAAAATGACAACCTCAACTCAAAACAGCAGCCTGAATCCAAACACAAGAAGAAGAGGTAGACTGAACTGTAACGCTTTAACTTACTTGGTAGACTGTATATTTTAATACATTTAAATTTTTTCAGTGGGATCAAACATATTCTACAATCTAAACAATAAATGTTTTAAATGCCCAAAACAAAATCTCAGAGAGGCTCATATAAAAGTCTACTTTGCTTTGAGACCCCAAAGCACAGAACCAGCTTTAGAAACAGGCAAGGTTCCCATGCACTTCGGGGAAAGTTTGCTTTTGTCAAATTCTTCAAATCAAAAGCGTGCTCTGTAGGACAGGTGTTAATGCTTTCCCACCTTTTGAAGCCCTTGCAAGGGTCTTAGGAATTTCCTGAGAGCAGTGAGTAGCTTAACTGTAAGGAATTTATTCAGTCCTAACAGTGAAACAGAGAAGACAGGGCAGTGGTAGGCTAGAGATCGCTCTGACTGGCTCCTGACCCTAGAGCCGATGGTTACATTTTAGAATTTTGCCAGCACTTATTAAACAGCTGTTACTAAATTATATAAGCTTATAATTAGCGCTGAAGCTCCAAGTGGTTTACTTTAATGAGTACAATTTGTACAAGGGTAGGAAATAGTTTACCAGTAGATCACATATCAGATTGAGTGACAATGAATTTTGAGAAATAGGTGAATTAGGATGTTATTCCATTTTTCAAATCATAGGTTGACTACAAGAGTTCAGCAAAATCAATTAAAGCATCCTGGGAGAATCACTTGGCCATATGGAATGTAAAATAAAGTATATTTTATTATTATGTATTAAAATTGTGTTCTATATTCTTGCTATCAGGAAAATTTATAGCAAACCTATGTACATTTGAACACATTTTTTTTTTTCCAGGAGAGCGGTCTGTTGAACATTTACCAGTATACCACCAGTATACCAGTATCTCCACCATACCATGGGGGAGAGTGGGGAAGGAGCAGAGGAAAGGGTTTAAAACCAAAGAAGGAAGTACAATGTTCTTTCATTTGGCTTTTCAGTTTGCCCCCAGCATCCACCTGCTGTGGTGTGCTCCAAGTACATGTCCACAGATGTTCATGCCAAAATATCTCCAGAAACACACAAACACCCCATCCCCACCACTAAGAAGTAAAAGCACTTTGCTTGAAAAAAATCAACTTTATTTTTTCTAGGTTAAAAAAAAAAATAGAACCAGCTATTCATTTTTTGTTGTTGTTGTTGTTGTTGTTGAGAAAATGCTTCTTTTGGTGTTCACATCTAAATTTCTGAAAAGGTGATCTGGTTACTAAAAATAATCCCATATGCATTCATAAACCAGATCCACGTGTGACCAGCCCTTTACAAAAATTAATGACAGTTGCCACAGCCTTTACATTCATTCTGAGCATACATTACAACATGCAGATAACAAAGAAAGAAAAACAGGTCAACAAGCTGAAGTAAACATATGGCATCAGGAAAATTAAAACCCATCTGTATAAAATAAATACAACTTTGTAATAACTGTAAAGAAAACGAAGCACTTAATGCAACAATGGCAGGTCCATGTGTAACTGTTTCATTACCCAATCATGAGATAAGTTACTGTAAAATGCAGCCCCCTCACATGTAAAGAGCTTGTGCATCAGTCCTGTGTTCAACAGTTCTACACAATAAAAATAAAGCCATTCAAAATATGTGTGCATACTTTGCAACTAGAATATACTTAAAATTTCTTTGCTCTTTCAACTGTTTTAAAAAATATTAAATGTAAAAATCCTCCAATGGAAATTTTGCAGAAAACCCCCTATTTTATCTTCCATATGGCTACAGTCCCCCTCTCCAGCAGTCCAGCACCCTCAGCTGATTCCCAGGGTCCAGTTCCTAACTGTTGAGGATCAATGCAAAATGACTGCAATAAAGCACTAACCAGCGACTGCTCCAGAGAGCCCCCGGCCCCTCTGTGATCTCGAAATGTCCAATGTAGGTGGTTTTGGTCCCAAACATATTAGTCTCCACCCCCTCATACAATAAACCAGTATACTTGCTGCTTTGGACTTGGCCTTTCATGTGAACAGACATAAGGTTCACAGCACTACGTGGCAAAAAAAATAAGACTAATCAGTTTTATTCATCCTTGTGGACCAGAGCGGACCTGCTCGTGATGGTAACTCTGGAGTGAAATCCTGTGTAATGAAGAAAATAACTAACTCTTCCTATTTGGCAGTGCAAATAAAATTTCCTTAAATATCAAAAGAATCCAATAAGACTGTCCATGATTAAAGACTGCTATCTCTGATTATAACCAGATCCCGCTAGTTCAGAAGAGTCTTTAGGGAAGTGATTGTCAAAACATCACTAAAGACAAATCCACAAGAAGTGAGTAACATGAACAAAGAATGAAGAGGCATTCCTAACATCAATCCACACGATATTAACACGAGAATGATGTTCTGAGGTTTGTATTGGGTGATTTCACATCTCATTTTCATTAAAGGCTTGAGTATCATTGCAATACCGCCAACTCTTGATTATTCAGGGATTCCTTTCCTAGCCCATGGACTATTTAGGCTTTTGTGTTCCCTTTTTCTGAAGCTGTCTTCCCAAATCTTTTTACTACTCATTAACACAGTCATAAATATATAAGCAAGAGAAACTAATAAACAATTGAATTCATTGTTTTAAAATTAGCAAGCATCCCTAGAAGAACAAAAAAGTCTGATAAAAAAAACCCCTCAAAGTCATAAATACACATTAGATTTTTGGCTAACTATGACTTATCACTGGATTAATTTTCCAGCAATCCTTAGTTCCTTCACTGTGGGAAATTAATGGTTGATTGTATAATAATATGACAGATCTGAACTCAGAGCTATCGTTTTTAAAAAAGCTATTTAGATTCTCAACTAGCTTCTTTGCCTACCTGAAACGTCATTTTCCATTCTGTCATTTTTCTTTACCTTCCACGGTGTGTAGGTTTCTCCATCATATCTGTATTTCAACCCCAACGACAGTGTCTCACGTGAAGAGTGAACTGCCGGTGTAGTCACTTCCGTATGCACTGCACCTGCCCCGGGCCCATAGCCCAGCGGGTGCTCCATCACTGTGACGTGTTGGGACGAGGATCCAGCAGGGAGTTCTCAACCCTCTCTGCTGTAGGAATCTAGGCAGGTCAGCTGAAACCAAGAAGTGCTGAGATTCTACAAGCTACTGGTATAAAACTGGCACGGTTTTATTTTCCTCCCCCTTAACAAAATGTGTATTCCCTAAACCTCCTTTCATCTCACTTTGCAAAGAAAGTACAAATTTGGAATTTTTATTCACTTCTGTACAGTGGCATATTGCTGCTTCCCTGATTTGCCATAGAACACTGATTCTCTCTCCACCTTGCCTAGTGCAAGCCGCCGACCTCCAGTTACTAGTAAGGAGAGTGCTACTGATGCTCTCAAACAAGCCAGAAAGAGAACACATTGATTAAATAATCGGAAGGGGGCACGAAGATCAGTGACACATCTATTTACAACTCACAGCTCTGTTTTCAAAAGTGAACTCACGTATCTATTGGTATTTGTCACTCTACAGACTGTTGAAGTGACTCTGTGCTTGAAAAGTAAAGCGTCTTACAGAATAGATGGTTTAACGTGTACAGTATTTTAACAATATCACATTCCTTTGGAGCACAGTGATGGCAAAAGTGGCTCTGAACCGCATTTATGTATGCATGGATGCCTCTCTCTTTTTTCTTTTTGATAGGAGAACTGGCCACTCCTACCCGTGGCTTGCTTTAGCAATAAGGAAAAGGCCTATTTAGCTAGGACTGTGCATATCATATTTGACAGTGAGCACCTTCTCTCCCAGATGGCTGACTAATCTCTCAAATGAACAATTTCAATTCAGCCTGTAATCTAGCAGCGTTTGCTGGACCTCAAACAGAAGCATTGTTAAGCTTCTATCTGGCTTCCTATCATCATCCGTGCCTCTTAATCAAGATTGGTTTCACCTACTCACTGTCACTGTAAAACACCCAACAAAATGCTTAGATTTCAAAAAAAATTGCATCTTGCGACGACCCCAACCAAAGCACACACATTAGCACTGGCTTCTGCATTTTACCAGTAGCAGCATAATATGCAATGAGGTATTTCATTAACACATTATTCTCTTTCCTATGTGCATGGAATTAACCTGGAGATGAAGCTGCTGTGGGCTTGTATTTGGTGTTGCTTTACCTTTCCCACATAACTGGGAGAAAATTCACATCTTTTCAGTTTCTTTTTCTTTTTCTTTTTTTTGGTTTATTTAAAAATAGAAAACATTAGCCTTTATTTTTATTTTCTGGCCTACTTCTCAAAATTTCCATTTGTAGGACTAGTGACAACAGGGGCATCTACAACGGTCATTATCACAGAAAACTGCCACTGACTTACTAGGATCTTCAGAGTCTTACAATCCCAAAGCAAAACACCAACTCTGTCTCAACACTGGGAGGGCAGGTGAGGGACAGATGCAGTCCCAGCACTTTCTGAGGAGAGTCGGTTCTACTGTGAGGTAAATCACATGAACAGAGAGTGGAGGAAAAAAGTGTTCTCTAGAAATAGAAACGTGACTTTATCCTCTTTAAAAGCAATTGTAAGAGATTGGGAAGCCTTTTGTGTGGGTCCGTCTCCCGGTTACACCACCCTGACAGGGGCAGCAACTCGAGGTGATGATGGAACATAGGTTTGGGGGTGCCATGTGAGAACTTATCACATTTTAAGCCTTTGTCTGGCTCTAGCTCTTATTTTTCTAATAAAACCCCTATCTCACCTCAAACTGATCATTTAAATGTTTTACATTAATTTGTTCCAGCCACTCCCAAATACTTTTGGCGCTAAAAGCCAAAATGGGCGGAACAAAGCCTCTGAGCTGGACAGAAGCCTCCGGTGGGTGTGGGGCTCTGGGCAGGGGGGGCGCCCAGGGACACACGCAGAGACGAGACAGCCTCTCAAGAATCCCACTCACTGATTATGCTTACATTTGTTTTCAGGCTATATTACTAATCCTTTGCTATATATGTATCTGATAAAAGTGCATTTGGTAGAAGACAATTATCAATCTATGATATGCCTCTATATATAGAGAGATATCAAGTGACACCCCCCCCCATTTAAGGGAAAGCACTAGCACATGTAAACACGATGTTGGACTGAGCTAGCCTTTTTTAGGAACTCTAGTACCGGAACATGTCCAGTGGACACTGCTTCTCCCCCATGGGTGTGCTTGACACTGGAGTGTCACTGCGAACCACAGGGGAACTGTCCTTGAGGGTGCCGCACAGCTCCCCTCGGGCTCCTAGTGACACAGCAAGAGTTGGTGGGAATGAGTGTGCTCTACAGCTCTATCCTACTCGAGACAGTATACTAGCTAAGAGGAACGGAGTCCAACTCTCTGAGCTTGAACTAGATTACCAAGTATATCTGGTGGCAACAGAATTTCTCTCGGATAGTCTTCTAGGATGATTTTATGACTTCCTCTTCTCCGAATGTGATGTTTGCTTAAGTGTGTGGTAGAGTGTATCTTTTTAAAACGTGAAAGGTCCTTAAAACATATTAGCAGGTCATTATATTACTGATCTTCATTTTAGTGGAGTTTTAAGATATCCCAAAGGGGGATAAATAATCCATCCATTGAATTTCCTTTGCTTTTTTTTATATTCTGATTTGCACATGTAAAATAATGCACACTTATGAAAGTCTGAACTCCTATGGTGACCTTGACAAGTCCAAGTCAATTCCTAAAACAGGCAATGGTAAAAATACTGGATGATGTTATACCACATATAGCCTGACAAAAATGCAAAAGACTGTATGAGAAATATCCACATATTGCTGAGGGTCATCTCCCTGGAAACAGCTTCCTTATGGCCCTTGGGTGGTGGAAAAGCCCCTAAAAGACAAGACAGAAATATTAATTTTTTTACTGTGGTGGTAAGGTCTCCTGGAACAAAAAGTGAATATTAGTTTACTTAGAATTTTTGTTGTTTGTTTTTTAAAGCATCTTCTGTGACTTCCCATTGTTCCTGAAGAGACATCTCATTTGCAATACAATTTTCCAACTGCTGAGCCCTTTCCTGCCTCTGAACATTTGCGTTTATTCTTCCTGCCAGAGATGCCGCTCCTCATGTCAGCGAATGGCAGGCTCATCTGCATTCTTACAGTATCAGAAAAAATACCCCCCCTCACCCCCCCCCCCCCCCTCGTCAGTCACACTCAGCTCTACGTTTATTTCCCTCTTGGCACTTTCCAGGATCTGTAATGATCCAGATCTAGCTTTTCTTTTTTCTACAGACTTATTTACTCTCTGTCTCCTTCTGGAATATAAACTGCATGAGAGCAGGCACTCTGGCTTCCTTGTTTCCACTGTAACCCTAGAGATTTCTACAGTGGCCAGGACACAGGATGTGTGAAATTGATATGTGTGTGTATATATATATATACACACACACACACACACACACACATACATTTTAAATATTTATTTATTTGACAGAGAGCAGGAGAGCGAGAGAAAGCACAAGCAAGCGGGGAGCAGCAGAGGGAGAGGGAGAAGCAGACTCCCCATGGAGCAGGGAGACTGATGCGGGGGCTCAATCCCAGGACCTGGACATCATGGACCTGAGCTGAAGGCAGACGCTTAACCGACTGAGCCACCCAGGCGCCCCAAAATGGATTTTAAATAATTTCTGAAATGACATAACTAACACTAATTCCTCCATTTACAAGTTAAATGGTTTTGCCACAAAAAAAGTGGTGGTAGGTCACTGGTATTCTTTTCAAAAGGTAATATTATTTATGAAATATATCTTAGTAATTAAAAGGAGAAACACAAAGTAAACAGATGTCTTTAAATTCTTTTCTAGAAGGGAAAGAAAGACCACTTCAGAGCAATATTACCTCAGGTCATCTTGATAACACTTCAGCATTTCAAATAGTCTTTGTCCTTGCTGATAATCCTTTTGGGTAAGCTGATTCATGTGGGGATTTGCTTCTCACAAGCAATTTACAGAGAACACTTTCAAGTTTCAAGGTCTATTATACAAATGGCTTTCTTAAAAAGAGACTTCCATTATTGTTGTTACAATTTAGGCTAACTACCATCAAGCAAGAGATGGAGATTGAAAAAGAAGAGAGATCCTGTTGACTCTTAATTACCTCATGCCTTCTTAAGCATCTATCCTATTTTATCTTTAAAGAGATTTTGAGAGTAAGACCAAGGACTGCACATGGCAGAGAGGGGCATCCTGTTCAATGAGTCTTCCTAAGAATTCTAGAGACACGCACAGCGTCCAACCCCTGTCATATGAGTATGCACTAGTCCACAGCCCTGGGGTCGGAACGTTAGGATCAGGAAGGAATCCTGTTGTGGGTAATGTGAAAAAATCCTAAACACAAAAACAAAAGCGTTAAGGGTAATTAACAGTCTCAGCCTTTTCTCACCATTAGGCCTTGAACAGTCTGATTTAACATGAACGTTAATTCTGAACCAAAAAAATCTAAGTGGGAAGAAAATAGTACTTTCTGTTAATCTAAAATCTCACAGCCATCATCACACCTAAAACAACTTTCTCTTCCCCTTTTTCTTTTCCTATTGTAGGTTCCAGAGAACAAGCCTACAACACACGTAGTTATGTATGAAAGCACTCTGGTAACGCCTGGCATTCTACCAACGCTTATTTCCTCCTTTCCTAACTTCCTTTCTTTCTCCCTCCCTCCTCCTCCCTTCCTATGTCTGACTGCATTGCAGTTTTCACAGAAGGTACAGAATATTGAGTGTAGATAAGGGACCTTGAGGTAAATTGACTTTTTTCTCTCAAGGAGAAAAGTACAAGGTTGTATCTGTGAAAACTTAAAAAGTAAGCTTTAGCCCTGTATGTAAAGAAAAGAATAAGCATGTAAAAGTGCAGTTCAGAATGATCTCAAATGACTGCAAGATGATGGTACCATTTAAACAATCACGTACAATGTCAAACCATAAATATTATTTGCTATTTCATAAAACAGCCCGTGTAATTGTACATGTACGACTGTACTCTTCTACATACTGTGTACTGTCTTGAATTAGTTCCATTTGTACAACATTTTACTCATCATGTGATCTTGCACACTGGCTGCTAAAGTAAGGGCCTGAATAAGATTAACATTAACACTGTCCTTATGAATATTCTAAGCTGGAATTCTTAAATATAGAAATACTTTGATTCCTTTAGGGTATCTGAAGAATGGAAAAATGGTTATCTCCCCTAACGTACATCTTTGGAACTATCACCAACTTCAGAAACATATGTAATAGGATACTATGTACCTGTTTCATAAAAATGTGATAAGAGCGCCTCTTTTTCAACAAAACGTTGATAGAGCCAATCAGCAAGGCCATCCGTCTCCAGGGGTACATCTTTGATTGGAAAGATCCTATGAAGAGTTAGAAAAAAAGCAAAAACTACTTTAATTCAGAAATCAAAATCATTCAGAAGCACAATTTAGCTTTGGCGACTGAAAAGCTGAAGAAAGTTATGGAATCACCTGTGGCTTTTACAAGGGTTCATTTCTGCAGCTTCTCAGGTCATCTTGGTTTTTAAAAAATTGTTGATTATACAACAGAGTTCATTTACTCATTCATTCAAACATTTACCAGCCTATTACGTTAGGTACAAGTGCCAGATGATGGGAAAATATTAATACATTGCCCTGTATCTACAAATAATTATTGAGAAATAACTGTCTTCCCAAGCTTGTGGGTTTAAGAAGAAACTGTTCAGAACAGATGGAATTTTAAAATGCAGCTACTGGGATGTCTGAGTGGCTCAGTCCATTGAGCATCTTGGTTTCAGGTCTGGCCAGGATCTCCTAGTGGGGAGATCGAGCCCCGGTTTGGGCTCCACGTTCAGCAGGGAGTCTGCTTTCCCGTTTGTGCGCATACAGCCTCTCTTTCTCTCTCAATTAAATAAATAAATCTTTAAAAAAAGAATAAAATAAGATAAAATAAAGTAAGATAAAACAAAAAACAAAATAAAATAAAATGCAGCTACTTTAGGACACATTTAGAGTAGCTGGATGCTAAGCCAAATAATGCATCTTAGCAATGTTCTTTTGGAGGAAATGTCTGTGAACCAGACAGAATCTGCCTAAATTGGTGCCTAAATTGTATCAGAGAGAGAGGTTTCCTGAGCGGGGCCGCCTCTTTTTGGAGCGCGAATGTGCAGATTGTGCGAATGCGCCCCGACTCACCAGGAAATGGACCAGGATGATTAGTGATACACATCCGCTGGCCATGAGGGCAGAAAAGGGCAGCTCGAGTACATACTATGTATTTGCTGATGTTGAAGTTTCTTGTTTCCCAGTTTTGTGGGGGAGGTTTCTTAATTTTATAAAGGGAGACAGTTTTAAAAGCCTGCAAAAGGTTTGTATGCAAAAATAGCAGTCCCTGTCCCACTGCCCGTTGTTTACCTCTTTGAACCAAGGATCTTGATATTTATTGCCATGTTTCCTCTTCAGTTTTAGGGCCAATCTACTGACTTCCCACTATGGAAGATGAGGAGCAAGTGCCTTCTTCCCTTTCCCACCACACATTGATATCCTTCCCATCTTCCCAATGCAGTTGTATGGTAATTTTAATGAGCAGAGTACTATACATTTACATTATTATAATCATGTATATATATTCAAAGCTAAGCCATGTAATAAATCAAGGCTACTCCTCCTTTCCTGCCCAATTTTTGTTCTCCCTGAACTGAGCAGTTACATCATTTTCTCTGTACATATAACTAATTCAACCATAAGCTCTTTTTTTTAAGATTTTATTTATTTGACAGAGAGATAGAGACACTGACAGAGGGAACACAAGCAGGGGGAGTGGGAGAGGGAGAAGCAGGCTTCCCGCGGAGCAGGGAGCCCGATGCGGGGCTCGATCCCAGGACCCTGGGATCATGACCTGAGCTGAAGGCAGACACCTAATGACTGAGCCACCCAGGCACCCCACAACCATAAACTCTTGTCCGTCTAGAGTCAATTCTCTAGAGTGTGTCTGCAAACTCTTTCTTAAAGGGCCAGAGAGAACGTATTTGGACTGGGCAGGCTTTATGGTACCTGTGTCAACTATTCAACTCTGCTCTGTAGTGTGGAAGCAGCCTTAGACCATGTATAAATGCATGGGAATAGTTACGTTCAAATAACATTGTATTTAAACAACAGGCACTGAGCCAGGACTGACTTGGGCTCTAATCTCTTAAGGGGTTTGTGTGCATCAGACATTCTTTTAATTTCATCTTCCTGAATAAATTTCACCCACACTGTAGGATTTGTTGCCTGTAGTTTTCATCCTGCAAAGACCTCTTACTTTGTCCTGGCGATTCTCCTAAAATACATTTAATATTTCCTACATCTCATGTCTTCCTTTTTCTGTATTTACTCTGCATTTTGATGGAGCACATCCTCCAGCGATTTCTGGAGAAAGGGTCCTTGAAATCTTGCCAATGTCTTTTCGGCCAAAGTCTTTTTTCTGTCCTCACACCTGGTTGATAATTTGACTAGATAGAGAATTCAGGGTTACAATTCATTTTCTTCCATCTCTGTCTTGGTGTCCTCCTTTCTAGGAGATTCTTATTTAATTTCTAAACTTTTTTTTTAATGAATTTTTACTTCTTTTCTCATATTTTTAATTTCTAAGAGCAGTTTGAACATTCCTTTTTTATTGTTTTATTGTTGTTTTTGTTACAATATTATAAAATTGTTGTCTTATTGTTACAGTATCTTATCTCTATGAGAATTAGAATGGAAATTTTAAAACACGCATGAAAGTAGAGAAGAGGGTTAATGAACTATTAGGATTTTTGGCAGCTGTGCTTTCCCTGCATCATTCCTCCAAGTCACTTCCTTCTGTTTGTTTTAGTCTCCATATTTCACAGCAGAGGCCGATCAGATGACCAAGTTATCCGGTGAGTCTTTGTTGTTGACTCACATTTACCGACGGGATTAAGCAGCGGATTGAAGGCTCTCAGCCTGTGAGCGCCGTTTGTTGACTGGGAGCTACGCTGAGGATTATCTGGTTGGGCCATTTAAGTTGGTCTTTCCTCTTGAATTTGTCATTGCCGCAGAGGAAGATCCTCTAGTATCCTGCCCAGAGAATGAAGGCCTAGTTGTTGGCTTTCTGGTAGCAGAGTGAGACAGCAGGGCTGGGGGTCTAAGCACTCGGCGCCCTGTCATCACTTAACTGTGCCGTTTTCATTATGGGACCTTTGCCTCAACTGTGCCAGGCGCCTCTGAGTCTAGAGAGTCTCTGGCTCCCTCTCCAGAGTAAGCCCCCAGTCCCCTGTCATGGCAGGGAATGAAGAATCCCCCAGCTGTGGGATGGTGGGTAGGGGTTCTGAGGATCTGAGTTCTTCAACAGATTTCAACCAGACCCAAGTGTAGCAACCCTTTCAACCCCTTTTCCATGGGCACTGATCCTGCCAGTTTTTCAGTTCTGTGGTATAAATCAGGTTGGCTCCTGGTTTTCCCTTGCTGGCTTAGGGTTCTGACTGCTCAGTCTGTTTTCCAACTTCCTGACTTTTGTTACTATTGCCTTTCCTATTGTTTTCCTCATTCTTGTGGGTTCATACTTTAAAGAAACCTCTTCAGTTTCATTCTACTAGAGTTTTGGAAGGGCATGAAAGTTGACATGAGTTCGGGCCACCACGTTCTTTAGGAAGCTGTCCTGTTATTTCTGAAAAGTCTAAGATGATATTCTATCCTTGGCCAGTGTCTACTACCTGCCATTCTACAAAGGGGCTTATATTACTATTTCAAGTTTAGGCAAAATGTGTGTCAGTCACTTAGTAAGGATTTGAAAATTATAATGATGCATACCCATTATAAAAACATTAAACAGCTTCTACAGTTTATCAGTAGAACACAATGTCCAGACGAGTCAAGTAGTACAAAGGATTCCAAGTGACCAGAATGCCCATGCTCAGACTCCTTCAAAGGTGTCTTAAAAATTAGTCATGTAGCATGGTCATTTGCATACAAAACAATCAGAAGGAACATTATTTATGAATCGCATTATAATCAGATCCCTTTCTCTTGTTACTTAAACACTTAAATACCAGATTTGGGGTATTTTAACACTACAATGTAAGTATCCATGAGCAGGAAAAAGAAGAGAGGAAACGAAGGAAAAGTACGGTGTGAAAAAAAATCTATTAAAAATCAATTTCAGGAAATCACAGTATTGATTAAAAATTCTGCTTTCAAAAATTTGAAAAGGATGAAAGGTAACCAAAATATAGTTTTATTTACACAGAAAGTAAGTTTCCCAATCTTAGTCACCTTTCTATTCCCCTAAGTATAGTACTACATTGCTCTAAGGCAGTAATATAGAAGTGTTCTGGTTTATTAAATATTTTAATGGGGTAGGAGATTCTAAGGTCCAGAAACTTCAAGTTTCAGCTTGCTACTATAAAATCCCCTACCAGAATGAGATTTTCTTTTGCTTTGAAAGAGCTAACCACAAAAAGAGGAATTAAAGAACGTCATGACTTTTAAAGAGAAAAAATACTTGAAATGCTTACACTACATAAAATCAACCCATAGGCTAGTATTTCTTAGCCCCTTTAATGCCTATCCTCCTAGGTAATTGGAAGATCTCTTTCAAACTTTCCCATATGCCGCACTAAAGTGAGAGTGGGAGTTCATGGCTGAGATTCCCTTCCACAAACAGTAGAGTTTTTGTTTTTGTTTTTTTAATATGTGAAGAGTCTTTGCTTTTTAGGCATAATTAAAATAATCCCAGAAGGTAGTGTGGCATAATGATTAAGAGTACAGACTCTGGGACAGACTGCCTGAGGTTGAATTCTGGCTCTATGGCACTTGCTGACTATGTGACCCGGGGAAAATGGTTTACCCTTTGTACAACTTAGTTCCCTCATATGTAAAACAACTTACAAAGTTGTTATATGTGTATACTCCTGGGCAGAGGGTGGTGGCATAACTTGGCATCAGTAGTGATGGTGGTGGGTGTTAAATGGTAAGTACTGTTGTGCTTCCAAGCTTTCTGGGTTCAGCAACAGCTGTAGTGACTAGACTAGACCTGAAGTTGTTATAAGGGTTTGACAATCCATGACTATTTTCATATAGCATAACACTCTACACAGATAGTCTGGGTGGTGTGTGTATTTCTATACCAGTGAGGCAACAATGAAGCCAGCCTCAAGCCAGTCACATAAAAAGATAAATGTTGTTACCAAGTACTACAAAGGTGAATTCCTGACAGAGATTCTCAAGACTCTTAATATTAATACTGATATAATCAGAAGGGCAGAGACATGGAGACACAATTTCAAATGAGGAGGCCCAGGGCTATTTAAACAAGCTCGTCTTTCCATTCCTTCAAAGGGTAACTTCTGCTCTTTGAATTACAAGGAACCCTCAACTTA